TAAATTTTGTCATTTAGCAGACGCTTTTATCCAAAGCGACTTACAAATGAGGACAATAGAAGCAATCAAAACCAAAAAAAGAGCAACAATATGCAAGTGTTATATTAGTATATTATTATAGTGATATATTTCAATTTCACAAAGAAATGTGCAGCATTTTGTCCAAGCAATAATAAAAGGACACATTTAATTTATAATTTGTCTTAAATCTCATTTTGTAAAAAAAAAAAAAAAAAAAGTGAATCGAATCGAATCGCGAAATCAAAATCATGAATCGAATTGAATCATGAGTTGAGTGAATCGTTACATCCCTACCTCCAACTGTCCTAAAACTGTACCCATCTGTAATCGTTGGGTCAAATTTGGTGGGTCCCAAATGATCTTGTCATATCACTTTATTTCTTTTAGTTGCGACCCCTAGAGGACGCAGTTCGAAGTTCCCATGAAAGGGAACCTATCAATATGGCTGACTCTGCACAACACAACAAATCCATTTTTGCTCACTTAAAACGACCAGGTGAAGTACTACAGGTGTTTTGGAAAGCGCTCAGTGGCTTTAGCCCCACTATACCCTATCACATACAACATAATGTGCAAGTAGCTGAATCTTTAAAAATCTTTAATATGCTGGGGCCACATTTTATACATAGATTCACAAAAAAGGAATTTAAAAGCCAAAGATCTAGATTCTTCTAGAACTGTGACTCATGAAGATGGAGCACTTGTTTTGAATGTCAATATTATTATTTTATTTTAAAAGCAGCTATCATTTCATTTGTTTAGATCAGGGGTCACCACACTCGGTCCTGGAGGGCCGCTGTCCTGCAGAGTTTAGCTCCAGCTTGCCTCAACACGCCTGCCTTGAAGTTTCAAGTATACAAAGTAAGAGCTTGATTAGCTGGTTCAGGTGTGTTTGATTAGGGTTGGAGCTAAACTCTGCAGGACACCGGCCCTCCAGGACCGAGTTTGGTGACCCCTGGTTTAGATGATATCACAAAGCCTGGTTCAAGTGCCAAAAATAAGTGTTGCCTTTAGAGCATATTCTTCATCAAAAAAAGGGGGCACAACTAATCTGAGGGCAACAGAAGGGTTCAAATGTTGAATTTTATCAAAAAACACTGCAGTCTTTAACATACCTTGATCTGATCTTGGAATGAATAAAGTTGCTTTAGGAGACGCTCCAACTGAATTGACAGCAGCTAGTTCAATACTGGCCGTTTTTCCTGGTGGCAACTCCATCGAATACATCAGCCTGGGCTTATCTGTTATAGTGTGACTTTCAAACATCACATAATCTTGACTGATATTCAGGTAATATTTCAGTATTTTTCCATTCGTTTTTACAGGAGCCTGTAACCGAAGACAATAGGAAAACCTTTCCTATTTAACTTGCAAAGCTATTGAGTATGTCACTACATAGATTAACACTATTACTGATATTTTAGCACATGTAAGGTGAAAAAAGGAATTTACCTTCCATACTAAAGTGACATTTCTATTATTAGAAGTGGGCTGGATGATTCTCCAAAGATCTGGTGCGCTTGCTGGCTCTGAGAAAATAAGATGGCCTGATGAGTATTAATGATAAGATTCAATAACATCAGAACGCTGGGAAGTAATTAAGCAGTGTTGCTACTAACTTAACTGTGCATTTCAGTAGCCTGACAATAGTTTACTTGCTTTTTTAAATTCCCATTTTTAATCTCATGTTGTTCGCACACACTTTACTGTCATGAGAGAATAATCTCTAACTCACTCTGGTATGTATTCTGTGTTGGAAAGTCTGATTTATTCTATTCAGCCGGTTAGTCCTAAATGATCTTCTCTCTCATATGTAAAATCCAACTCATTTCTGAGTCTAGTACAACCGTACGTTCGGATTCCATCTCTGCTTATTCCTGCATTTGGAAGCATGCTTCATGAAACAGAGCCTGTTCTCTATTGTCCTTAAAAGATAAAACTCTTCAAAACAACACATTTTGCCTAAAGGCGAGTAATAGTAAAGATTTACTAGTAGTAGTGTTAGAGTAGCTAACTAGTTTTTTAAAGGGCAGCTTAACTACTTTAGTAAGCTACCTTCCCAACACTGTTCTTAAGGATTTTATAACCCCATTTTAGGATCCTTCCATCAACCTTTTTAGAGTTTTTCAATCACTTGATGAATAATACAGATCATACTGGCTTCTGCGGTGTGCCCTGTGACGCTGGCGCTCCAGTTACTCCAGTGACTGCTGTGACTTTCTCCAATGCATCGCATCTGCACCACGTATTGAGTGTAAGGCTCCAGAGACTGCAGTCTAAACGACTCCATGTACGCTTCGGTGAAGCTCTCAGGCACCTAAAAGATTCATGAACTCATGAATAAACAGCGTCTTTTTTTTTTGAGGTGAGGACTAAATTATATGCAAGATGAAAATATTCCATTGTTTGAAATAAGAACCCACTCCCATCCCCTTGAGCCATAATAGGGCATTTCACACCTGAAATGTTTAACCCAGGGTCATTCTAAACCCCGGGTCAACAGAATCCACATTTAACACTGTTCATAATTTATCCGGGCTTAACCATTAATCCTGGGTCTTCATAAACTTATGTTTGTGCATTACTGCACATTCTTATTTGCATATTTGTGGTGTCAGTGTCATTGACTGGACGAACGCAGCACTCGACCTGTCTATACAACGGCTCTAGCATTGCGCATCCTCGGGTTATATATTGCCGATCAACTTTGCTTATACAACGCCGTGTTTTCTTGTTGTCCAAAGCAAGTGAATATGAGGTACACGTTTGGGTGTCAGTTGCTCTGCATCTAGCCGTTAACATTTTAACACTGCATCGTTTCACACTTCACAAGTTTGGCACTGCAACACCACAAAAGCACTGCTAACCCCGCTTCTGAATTACACGTGTGAAACATACCTGAGGTTAAAGACGGGGGTTCAGAACGATGATGACCCAGGCTTAAGCGCAGTGTGAAAAGCCCTTATGAAATGTTTTGGTAAGGCAAATAAAATAGGTCAAACAAAAGAACACTGACATCAAATCACACCACGGTTTTCACCAACAATCATTATTAACAGTACACAAAAATGCTATCTTTTGTCCTGGCTTTTGGCTTTCCCATACCTCGACCCAAACATCGGATGCTACTTTGCAGTATCTGATGGCATAAGAGAGTTTCAAAACAGTCTCGTGAACGGGATGCTTCCAAGTAACCATGAGACTTGTGGAGATATTAACTTCAGTGAGGACTCGGACATTCAGTGGTGGATTTGGTTTCACTACAAAACAAACAGAAAAGCCAGTTGAAGTTATGCAGTCATACAGAGTTTTAAATGCATCCTTTCCTAATTCAAAAGCTGAGATCATACCAAAATATGCAGAATACTTTTGAAGTTCGTCTGACCGCTCTGAGCCCAGCGCATTCTTCACTTCAACCCACACTCTAAAAAGCATATGAATCTGAAAAGTCTCCAGATTGACTACGCAGTATCTTGCAAGATGCTGATTACACTCAGCTTTATATGTTAGGTCTGAAGCAAGTCTAAAAAAAGACGAAGAAGAGGAAGTAAATAACACTCTAGTCTTTCATTTTGAGTAATTTGGCAAAAAATCATAAAGGTGCTTTCAGTACTTATGCTACTCTAACACGTACACATTGACAGTAAGGGTGTAATTTGTGTCGAGCAGCGGGGATCGCGATCCTGGATCCCAACTACAGTTTAAGTAAGAGGAAATATCCTTGCCCTCTTGCAAAGCAAGGCATGACAGATTCTTTGGTTTCAGTGGAGGATCTGGAGATCATAAACACAAAAACAATGGATTTATCAAGATGTTTCCTTGAAGTTGAAGTGTTTGGTAAATAATGCATCGGGTTTCAAAAAATGAGAATGTCTGAAAGAGGCAAAGATTGTTTTTTCCTACAGGTTTATAAACCACTGCATCACAAACTGAAAATTGATATTATTAACCAAAGGTTCTGAAGGCATACATGTGGGAAAAAAGCTGAAAATTCTCTGCTTGAAAATCTCAAATATGGTTCAACAATCTGTCTTGTCAAATTTGACGTCAGAAAGCCAATGATGATTAACAATATTGAAGAGAAATGCTTCATTTGAATAGCATTTGTTTTTGAACATTAAAGCATGTCAACATATTCTGTTACACCAAATACACAAAATAATGATCTTTAAAAAAGCATCATATGACTCCTTTAATCAATTTCAAAACTAAGGTGGAGGCAAAGCTTATAACGACTTAAATGCCAGTCTTTTCCCGACACAAATGTCTCTGAACACTTGCAATACAGTACACTGGATATTCTGCAATATTTTGTGTTTTAGAAAAACATATGTGACCCTGGAGCACAAAAGCAGTCTTAAGTCGCTGGGGTATATTTGTAGCAATAGCCAAAAATACATTGTATGAGCCAAAATTATCGATTTTTCTTTTATGCCAAAAATCATTAGGATATTAAGTAAAGATCATGTTCCATGAAGATATTTTGTAAATTTCATACAGTAAATATATTAAAACGTAATTTCTGATTAGTAATATGCATTGCTAAGAACTTCATTTGGACAACTTTAAAGGCGATTTTCTTAATATTTGGATTTTTTTTTTGCACCCTCAGATTCCAGATTTTCAAATAGTTGTATCTCAGCCAAATATTGTCCTATCCTAACAATTTATTATTTATTCTTATTTATTCAGGTTTCAGATGATGCATAAATCTCAATTTCGAAAAATTGACCCTTATGACTGGTTTTGTGCTCCAGGGTCACAAATTGTCAAAAAAATACGTACAAAACTAAAACCCAGTTGGAGTGACGAATTCAAGCCTTTTAATTCTAAAGCAACACGTGTGATTTTGGCATGAAAACACTTACATCCCGTACGGAGAAAGATTCCATAGATACACTGTGGTGCGTATGACAGCGACTCCTTGGCGGCTCTGCAGCGCAGCAAACCGCTCATGTCACTGCTGACGTTAACAGTAACACTGACAGCCGTTTCATTTATTTTACGGTAAAACTGCTTTGCAATGCTGATGTTTTCCAATCTCCATTCAATGTCATCTGAGGTATAAACAGAGCCTTCCAGGAGGTGACAAGTCGCGGTGAAGTTTTTTCCCACCTCAAGAACAATGTTACTGCTGGAGTCTGGAAGAATTTTCACACAGCTACTATTGGAACCTGTGTGGACAAAACACTGCATTGAGTATCACAACAAAACAATAACGATATACAGTAAGTGTTAACTGGGAGGTAATAGAGTGAAGGACTGGTGACATGGCTTACCTATTGCATAGTGCAAAAACATCAAGAGTAAGAGTAAATGATGTGAAGTGTCCATTGTGACATAAAGGCAGGTATCTGAGAAAAGAAGGAAATCAAAAGATATAATATAGATAAGGGTCATTGCTACCATTCGGTACATTTTCATGTCCCCATAATGTATGTCCTAAGAGAAGAGATTAAACTACATTTTTTCATTACTTTGTTAAGAGAATAGCTGCATTTTTGCCATGTTCCCATTAGCTGCAATGGAAAACTGCCAACTTATTAAAGGTCCCATATTGCAGCTAGCGCAGTGACGTCGGCTGACCCTAGTTACCTGTGGTTGGCCTGGCCGTGCGTCACTCAGAAAACAACAGGCCAATCAGAAGAGAGGCTCATGAATATTAATTAGACAGGCCAAAATCGACCTGTTCTCAGCAGAGCTCCTGAGAAAGGAGCTGTAAAAATATAGATGAATAATAACATTGAGATGGTTTTTGGTACTTATACCGCAAATATATATTATTAAGGACATCAAAACCTAAATTAAAACTCCAGAAAGGTGTACAATATGTGACCTTTAAGAAATGCACCACTGTCAGGGCAAAACAGCTTGTAAATGGTGCATATTAGTACTCTAGAGTAGGCATATATACCCTTAAGGTACTACTTGAACTTTTTAGTGGTAAATAAGGTACAAAGTTGTCTCTTTAGGGACAAGCTGCTGTATCCGGTGTTTGTCCAAGCAAGGTTTTTAGCTAAACCAATAATTCAACATTTCCAGAAAAACATTTTTTTTTTTTCAGTGCAGTAAACAGGCTTTTTTCAAGTAATTCTTCAAGTAAACAGAAATAAAGAACACTGAAATAAATTAAGAGCAGTTAGTGTTTTTGTTAGTTTTGTTTCTTCTTTAATAATAAGGACAACATTGTCACTTAAATGACTGCTATTTAAATTTGGAAAAGGTTAAAAGCAAATGTTTGACATGTTTTAGTTCCTCTTCAGGAACTCGAGCTGCGTCGAAAACGCTAGGGCAATAACACTTTCCACCCTTAGTCTTGTGTAATATCCCTCTCCTGTTTAGATATATTGGATTTTTGTGTTAAATAAATCATTCGGCATGTAAAACAGGCATAATTTCAAATGTATCCAACTTATTGATAACAAGAAAACGTAGAAAAGTGAGATAAAGTGAGACTTGTGCAGCCGGGTTAAGGTTAGGGTTAGCGTCCTCCTCCCAATCTCATCTACGTCGTTTTTCAACCAGCTTTGTATTGCTACAATGTCGGTAGTATGTGTGAATGAACACTGAGTACTCTTCCTCTGTGTTACCTGCACCCAGATATCCCTGTTTGTCGGCAAAAGTGCACCAAATGAAGCAAAGTGTGACAAGAGTATAAATATCTAGGTATAATACTTGATTCACAACTTACATTTAAAAAACAAGTTAAAATAGTTGGGAATAAAATTTAATTTAATTTGGCAAATTTTAGATATATTAGGAATAATTTAACCACTGAGGCCTCAAAGTTATACATTAATGCTATGATTTTTTCACATATGAACTACTGTCTCACCAGTTGGACACAGACAGGTGGGACTATTTTGCAATCAATAGAAAGACTCTATAAGCAGGCTTTGAAAATATTGGATAAAAGGTCTAATTCATATCATCATTGTGAAATTTTAACTAAATATGGGTTTTTAAGTTGGGAAAATATGATTAAATTTGCAGATATTTTACTTGTGTTCAAAATTTTGCATGGTTTGGCTCCGCTCCCACTTAATAAATTTATCAGGAAAAATTTGAATTCTTTTACTAGAGCCACTACTAGAGGGGACTGTATAATACCATATAGAAGAAGTACTTTTGGGCAATCAGTATTTTCTTATAGAGCAGTACATACTTGGAATACTATACCCATAGAATTAAGAAATATTACATCTCTTGCTCCTTTTTCTGAATCGGTAAAAGGGTGGTTACTGGATAATCAAATATGTCCTCATAATTTGAAGTAGTGTGTTTTATTTTATAGTTTTATTTTATTTATTTATTTATTTATTTTTATTGTATTCTGGTTTTTGTAATATGTTTGTTTCTGCTTTGTGTATTTGTGGATTATGGTTCTTACCATCAACCTGCCAGGGACTGCAGATGAAAATTAGCCTGAATGACTAAATCTGGCACATTTACATAGTAGACTTGTTTTACTCATGTTAATTAATGTGTATTGTCCCTTTTAAATAAAATAAAAAAAAATAAATAAAAAAAAAAAAAGAAATAACATGAATATTTTAGATTCTTCACCAACAAAGTAGAACTTTCTTAGGTACTAAAATTTAACCTAACTTGCATCACAGAATTAACACTGCTGGAAGACCTCAGTCAGTCCGTGTCGGCCACAACACCTCGAGCACTACCACACTGAGCACAGGTGCCCCACAAGGCTGTGTGCTCAGCCCGCTGCTCTTCACGCTGCTGACCCACGACTGCACTGCCAAGTTCAGCTCCAACCACATCATCAAGTTTGCGGATGACACAACGGTGGTAGGTCTCATCAGCAACAGTGATGAAACGCACTACAGAGAGGAAGTGGCAAAGCTGGCTGAATGGTGTGGCACTAACAACCTGTCCCTCAATGTGAGTAAGACAAAGGAGGTTGTGATGGACTTCAGGAGAAACTCCGTTGACCACCCCCCACTGACCATCGACAGCTCGACTGTGGAGAGAGTCAGCAGCACTAAATTCCTGGGGGTGCACATCATAGAAGATCTCACCTGGACCACCAGCACCACGTTACTCTCCAAGAAGGCACAACAGCACCTGCACTTTCTCCGCCGGCTGAAAAGAGCAAGTCTCCCTCCACCCATCCTCACCACATTCTATAGGGGCACCATTGAGTGCGTGCTGACCAGCTGCATCACTGTCTGGTATGGGAACTGTAGTGCAGCAGACCGCAAGACCCTCCAGCGGACGGTGAACACAGCTGCAAAGATCATCGGTGCCCCTCTCCCCTCCATCCTGGACATTTTCCTTACACGATGCTCCAGCAAAGCCAACAGCTTTACATAAGTAAAAAGTTGTTAAATTATAATTTCTCAACAAGAGTAATTAAATGGATAAAATCATATTTAACGGATAGACAACAGTGTGTTCGAGTAGATAATAAAATCTCACAATCACTTATTAATTCAGTTGGTGTACCTCAAGGATCAATATTAGGTCCTCTGTTATTCAGTTTGTATATTAATGATTTGCCTGATGTTTGTGCACCTGCTGTAAATTGCCAGATGTATGCTGATGATACAATTATATACTTGCATGCTAAAACTAAAAAACAAGCGGCAGATGAATTATCAGCAGAAATGGTTAAGATTACAAATTGGTTAAAAAACTCGTGTTTACATCTTAATGTTAGCAAAACTGTATGTATGTTTTTTTCAAAGTCTGCAAATAGAGATCCCGATCCAGATGTCACAGTTGCAGGTAAAAGGTTATCAGTAGTTCAAGAGTATAAATATCTAGGTATAATACTTGATTCACAACTTACATTTAAAAAACAAGTTAAAATAGTTGGGAATAAAATTAAATTTAATTTGGCAAATTTTAGATATATTAGGAATAATTTAACCACTGAGGCCTCAAAGTTATACATTAATGCTATGATTTTTTCACATATGAATTACTGTCTCACCAGTTGGACACAGACAGGTGGGACTATTTTGCAATCAATAGAAAGACTCTATAAGCAGGCTTTGAAAATATTGGATAAAAGGTCTAATTCATATCATCATTGTGAAATTTTAACTAAATATGGGTTTTTAAGTTGGGAAAATATGATTAAATTTGCAGATATTTTACTTGTGTTCAAAATTTTGCATGGTTTGGCTCCGCTCCCACTTAATAAATTTATCAGGAAAAATTTGAATTCTTTTACTAGAGCCACTACTAGAGGGGACTGTATAATACCATATAAAAGAAGTACTTTTGGGTAATCAGTATTTTCTTATAGAGCAGTACATACTTGGAATACTATACCCACAGAATTAAGAAATATTACATCTCTTGCTCCTTTTTTTGAATCGGTAAAAGGGTGGTTACTGGATAATCAAATATGTCCTCATAATTTGAAGTAGTGTGTTTTATTTTTTTTTCTTTTATTGTATTCTGGTTTTTGTAATATGTTTGTTTCTGCTTTGTGTATTTGTGGATTATGGTTCTTACGATCAACCTGCCAGGGACTGCAGATGAAAATGAGCCTGAATGGCTAAATCTGGCACATTTACATAGTAGACTTGTTTTACTCATGTTAATTAATGTGTATTGTCCCTTTTAAATAAAATAAAAACAAAAAACAAAAAAAAAACATTTTGTGTCATCTGGCAGACAGCATCTGGGCTTTTTTTTAAACTACAGATCAAACTTGTGCATTTTTGTATCCCCCTCATAGACAGTCACCTCAACAGAGTGGTGCCGCCAAAATCAAAGGTGCATTATTGAGGGTTTTGTCAAAAGGGAAGCTCTTTTTCTCAGTTTTCTCTAATCATGTAGCACCAGTTTCAGATTTTCTCCCCTGCTTTTTTCTGCATAGACAGCCACGTTTTATTTAAAGGCAATCTTGCCAGCGGTGACGTACCCTTTAAGGTGAGGTGTTTGGAAGCTTAGACAAGCCTATCAGTTGGTTTGTGTTGATAAAATTGCAGAAATTAATATGATAATAACATTTCAAAACATGCTCATCTTCAATGGAAGTAGGGGAGAGTGGGGTAAGTTGAGCTAGAGGGTAAGTTGACCCACCCCCTGTATCTTGGCAACTGTACACTTTTACTGTCATTTTTTCCCAAAATGTCAGCTATGGGGCAAAGTGACACAAATGCTGTGGGGTAAATTGAGCCAGCATTTTAACTTACCCCACCATAAGGCACTGTAGTTAAGTTAAATCTCTGAATTATAAAATGGTATTTTAATGTGATATATTACTGGTTTAGTTTATCATTTATACATATTATTTGCGGTTTATTTGATAGGGAGAGTGTACAAGTGCACCAAATCCTTCTCTGATAAGAACCAGAAAATGCTATAAGTATTAGACATTTAATTTAATATTTTATAGAATAAATCTATATTATATACTAATAAACAACTAGTTTAGAAAATGTATACTATTTTTTAAACTATTTATAGGCCTACTATTAATTTGGTTTTAATAAAATATGATGTGTTATAGATTACTAGTTATCAAGACAAGTGATTATAATGGGAAATATACTTAATTACAAGAATTAAAGTGTGCTAAATATTCTATATGATGATCTGCTGGCTTGCTGGAGCTTTGAATTCATGTTTGCAATGTTGAACTGCCTTTAGCAGCCTCCATTTGCTCGTTCTCTCTCTGTCTTCTTTTTTGTGAAGGCATTTTTTTTTGTCTACAAAGTGTGCCAACAGCAGCGAATTTGGTGTTATCTATATTAGATCTGATCGGGAACAATAATTTGATTAGACGTTCTAATTCTAAGAACATGGATATTTTGTACAAGTTGTTGGCGCTTTTAGAAGGCCAAGTCATTACCGACAAAAATAAAAACAAACAAACTACCAACTAATTACTAATTCAGTGGATCAACCACTGACTAATGTGGATTGTAATGCATCTAGCTGGTAATGCAACGACCTTCGGGGACTGTGGTCTCCACTCTGCAGAGAGCGGCACACAGGTGAGTGATGTTGCGGAGCGGGCAGGAAACACGGAGTGGATTAGCAGAATCAGCGGATCTTTAGCGGAGCGGGAACAGACCGCTTTGAGCTGGGGTGATGGGGGGATTGGTGAGAGGGGCACCTCAGCCGATGAGGGCAAAGGGGCAGTGGCTCTAGCCACCGGGCCACCCCCCTGTGCACGGCCCTGTCAAAAACATGTTTTGTTATGCTGGTTGAAAGTCTCTTCACATCCCGATAGCAATCAATAAGTTAAGTGCTCTAAATGTTTTCTAATGTATTCTAATAAGTTAAGTGCTCTAAATGTATATCATCTGTGTATATCATCAGGCATAGGACCATAAAGTGTTCGTCCAGTCACATCCTTCGGTCTGAGGGCTGTCCTGCCTGCTTATAAACATATGTATTTAACCTCTGTTCGCACAGACATGATACATCATCAGCGCGCTCCATTACTCTACTGCAGACCGAGCGAGAGCGGAAGGCGTTATTATTGTAATATTATGCGCTTTGTACTGTAATGTTTTCTCACTGGTGAAATGAGACATGAGGTAATCTGACAGCGCTGCATTCAACCCTCCACCAGCGCCGTCTCTCATCGTGTCGCTAATTAGCCTCTGGTTTGCCTGTGCCAGGGCCGTCCCAAGCTGACCAAACAAGTCATATGTTTATTCTATGACTTATATACAGGCATATGGTTATTTTCTAGGGCTGTGCACTGAATTTCACCTCAGAAGAATTTAGTAAAGCAGCTGTTTATTAAACACTGCATAGTGCTTACTATAGGGCCGTTGCTAGCTATTGGCAGAACAGGCAGTTGACCTCAGCATTATGAAGGGCCTCCATAACTGTACCACAGTACAATAGCCTATAGGTAATGGCATATGCTTCATGCTTACATTGTGCACTCCCCACCCTACAATATTCTGATTGTTTGCATCTTGTTTTTAAGCCCATAAATAATAATGTACTCGTCCTAATAAATTTGTATTGTAATGTACTCATTCTAATATATTAAAATCATCTTAACATTGCTGGTATCATTGCACAAATCAACACACTCTCTACGTTTAACAAATAAAAATAAAAATTAGAAGAGCTCTAAACTAATGCGCTGTCTTCACTGTACCTCACGCACACACGTTTAGTCACACAGATCACGCTGCACGCGCACATACATTCTTTTTCGCATTTAGACAAACTTTATAGCTTGGCCCCACAATTTTATCAATAAAATAGCTTAATCGCTGAAGAGCTTTATATTCTTTCTCAACAAGGAGCTGGTAACATCATCGTTTCTAAAGCAATTAAAGCCACAGCTTCACTGTTAATACAGATGACCGTGATTTCACCAAGTACAACATCCTTGTTGATCCTGGAACAACATTCCTATCAACCAATCAGAATTGAGGAATAACTTTTCAGGAAATATCTGCTTTAGGCTTACGATCAGGGTTAGGTGCTTCTACACCCTTGTTAATCAGCTATCATTTCCCTCTGATTTTAGGAATAAATTATGGGTAAGGTTAGGTTTAGGGGTGGGGACTGGGTTAAGTCTGTATTTTTGGACCGTTATGTTGATCCAGGATCAACAAAAGATGTTGATCCAGGAACATGTTGTACTTGGTGAAATCACAGCGACCGTTAATACAGAAACGCGGCAAAATACCAAGCGGCAACCTCTCTCGTGAAACCAACACGGAAGTGACTAAAACTGCAATTCTTCGACTGGCCGCTAGAGGCTGGCTCCAAAAGGGAGTCAATCCCATAAGACCCCCCATGTTAAAGGGGTCATATGATGTTGCTAAAAAGAACATTATTTGGTGTAATGCAATGTGTTTATGCGGTTTAAAGTTTAAAAATAATATTTTATTTTAAAATGTGCACATTCACTCTTATTCGTATGTCTAACAGTCGAAAACGCAAACGTCTCTTGTTCATTTATGATTTACATGAATCATGATCGCATATGTTCAATTCAAAATGGCGAAATTTCATAAAAAGTTGAGTCATTTGCATTACTAGATAGTCTTTTACTGTCGGTCGCTGAAAATTTCAATCGTAAAACATTTTTCTAATACAGTACTACTTACATCTTTCCACGAACTCTCGTTGCGTTGTGACCAAGCGGCAACCTCCCGCTCTCTCTCGTGAAACCAACACGGAAGTAACTAAAACTGCAATTCATCGGCTGGCTGCTAGAGGCTGGCTCCAAAAGGGAGTCAGTCCCATAGACTCCCCATGTTAAAATGCCCAACTTTACAGCAGAAAAAATATGTTTACAGCCTGGTACAAAAAGTGGTTTTGGTCTATATAACTAATTTTGCCCTTCATGACAACTGTGAGGGGGGTGATTTTTTTTATAACTGGTCTGTTTAAATTATATTAAGCCTTAAAGTTTTGCATAATTAAGGGCGTGGCCACTTGAGTGACAGGTGAATTGCATCGAGCGAGGTGGGCGTGGTTTCATCATTTGCCCATTTTCGATTATCCGGAAGTGACGCGCGGTGACGCGCTGCCAAGATGGCGACGGCCAGCTCCGCCCACTTTGAGCTTCAAAAACGCTCTTAGGAAACCTACGGGTGACGTCACGGACACTACGTCCATGTTTTTATACAGTCTATGATCAATACTCGTATCGTCAGATCTCTGTGACGATACATCGTCGTATCGATGTATCGAACACAGCACTATTATTTTCATGATTAATTGCCTATATTTTAATTGAACATCTGTCATAATAGCAACACTATAAATGCAATCTTACCCCAAGGGTCTAACTAAACTACTATGTTTACTCCAAAATCTAAAAACATTCATGCGTCCACAAACCCCTCATTAACAAACAGACACAAAACACTTTGATAATCAACATAACACAATGCCACAGATAAATATTTTCCAGAGACACAACATTATCTGTCTGCAAATAGATAATGGTCATACATTTCCCCATAGTAATTTTCAGTTTTCAAAAGTACTACATTTCTCAGTTACATACAGTATTTTCTACTGCAGATTACAATGTTTTGCTACTTGATATCATTTGAAGCTTATAACATTCTAGATTTGGGTTTTAGTGAGAATAAAATAAAAATATATAACAATATAGTATTTATAGTTTTCTTTCCATGATATCACAATACATTCATATAATTGGCAAGGATACCATCAATATGTCTGTACAAGCTCCAGAAAATATTTATATATTAAGAACATTTATTCACTGGACTAGACTAGTATTACAAAGCACAATACATTTATTGACGTTAATATCACAGCAACACGATCCCTATAAAGTACGCAGACGTTAAAAATAAAACTTAACACGCTAAACTCTTAGCACTTCTCTTACCTTCAGAGTGGCATCACATCATACTGTAACTTTACTGTAAATCTGAACACTTTTAAGACATCGCGAGTTACTTCCGGTGATGTTTGAGCGGAAGCGCACACTCATCTGGAACGACCTGCGAACGTGCTCACGATCACTGAAGACGAGAGTGTGTGCTACAGATCGAAGCATTCTGAGCATGCGCAGAATCAAGACTAACGAGAGACCGAAACTCGTCTCGTGATTGGTCGGTAGAGCTGTCAGTCATTTAAATACGCCCCGTGATTCATAATCCATTACTTTTCCCGTTAGTCATGACCCACTGCCCGAAAACCGTGCAAAATGATCTCACTGCAGCCTATACATAAAGAACAAATTGAAAATAAGCGACAGACAAATTAGTGCTTGCTGAGGAATGTTCTCAATATACACGTTTACTTCGAAGGGCGTTACTGATGTTTTAACGTTACTTACGTAACGTTACGTTTGATGGATGCTATCATTGTAACAGTATTGCGCAATTCAGTGTTTTACCAGCGTTACTGCGCTTTTGTTGGCAAAGCCTTTTGCTCAGGATGTGTTATGACAAGCATAAATATTTCCTAACAATAAACTGTCTGTGACAGATCTACTCAACTATGCTCTGAATCAGAGACAACAAAGTCTGAAAATCAAAAGAGCAATTTCTGAGTAATATAAAACTGTTTTTTTTTTCTTTGTAAAACGAAATTAAATGTGTATACCCAGATTAGACTTTACTAAACTAAATCACTGTGCTATTGCCTTTATTCTGTGGTCTGACTTTCATTTTGCAATTACATCTTACTTCTAAATATTAAAATAATTATTAATATAATCAATAAACATGATATATTTACTTAAGCAAGTAAATATTCCCTAGACACCTACAAGTCATCTCTGTTTCATCTTGGTATATGAATATAAATCATATATTAAAAGAGTTCTGCTGTACAAGTCTCCTTCTGTCCAGTGTCTTTATATATGTGGATATTAATTATTATCCACATAAACTGCTGAACCCAACTCAGCGTTTATATAATTTATATTTATCCAGAGCTACAGTTACCAGTTCATGCACTCCCTAAAAATCAAACCCATGATTTTTGCGTCGCTCACCCTCTATTATTTCACCTTTAGGACCAGGGGCCAGTACCAAAAAGCTAGTTGAACAAACTCAGGGTAACAGGACTGGTTTTGAGTTGACAAACCCAAACAAATCTAAACCCGCGGTGCCACTACACTTTCTCTGTCAGCTCGGATTTTGATCCTGCTTGTGATTAGTTCACATTTATGTACTGAGTTACTGACTTAGCTGATGATGAAGAGATCATTATGAACAATATGAAGTATTAAAACACATTTACACAGCAAGAGAAAACACTACTACTACTATAAGCTATATATAAATGACTAATAAATACCCCAATTAAACACCTGAAGCAGCTAATCACGGTGTTCAGGGTTACTTGATAATTACAGACAGGTGTGTTGGAGCAGGGTTGGAGACCCCTATATTACAGCAACTGTGTGTAGTTTTGTGTATTCTTGTGACTTTGGTGCCCCCTACAGTTAAGTGAGTTCACTGTGAGGCTCGCCAAACTTACACACTCCCAGACAGATGTTTGAGGGAAGCCTGGGAAAGACACAGAAGCCTTTCTGCTTATTAGAAGTCAGTGTACCATCAGAATGATCGTGATACTGATATGGTAAGGTAAAAAACTTCAGTGGTTCCCAGCCTTGGTCCTGGAGAAACCCCAACAGTACACATTTTGGATGGCTCTCTCATCTGACACAACCATTTCAGGTCTTGAAGTCCCAACTAATGAGCTGATGAGTTGAATCAGGTGTGTTTTATTGGGGAGACATACTGTACAAAATGCAGTGTTGGGGGGCCCCAGGACCAGGATTGGGAACCACTGTTAAATACAGAGTTCTGGCATGAAACTCTAGATGGCGCAGGTCTAACTCAATCTGACCTAATGACATCATTATCACATGGCACAGCTGATTGGTTCTCTCCTGTATCGGTAGCCAATGAGCTCGCTGCTCAACATTCAAATATATGCCTATTGCTTGCCATGGCAGTTGCAGCTTGCTTCAGAAACCCTCCACCTTCCCCAGCTCCACCTGTATAGATCTGCTACGAGGTGATTCATGAATGCTATATGGGGGTTATTTCATGTATGTTATATTTGCAGCAGCAGTATTTCTTACATGCTCACAGCAGCATGTTGTGGATGTATTGGCAGTAGCAAGTCTCGGTACTTGCTCTGCCGCAGCAGCAGCGTAGCAGATCTATTCCGCCAAGACCAAATACATTAACATTGTCATGTACATTACCATGCCAATCCCTCCGAGAGTTGTCATGACAGAAATTATTTTAAGGTAAAGAGCGCTGTAGTTAATATTTTGAATTTAGGACTACTTTGAAGCCTTAAAGGGGTCATATGATGCGATTTCAATGTTTCCTTTCTCTTTGGAGTGTTACAAGCTCTTGGTGCATAAAGAAGATCTGTAAAGTTGCAAAGACTAAAGTCTCAAATCCAAAGAGATATTCTTTATAAAAGTTAAGAGTCAACCACGCCTACCTAAAACGCCTCGTTCTAACACGGCTCCACATGTCTACATCATGATGTGGGAAGATAATAATGTACAGTATGTGGAAAATAATGTTTTTTTTAACCTTAAACCGCATAAACACATTTCATTACACCAAATACACGAAATAATGTTCTTTTTAGCAACATCATATGACCTCTTTAACTTTAAAAGTATCAAATTAAGACTTTATTATTATACTGACTATATCATATCATATTAAGTTATTACGATTCCATACGTAAACAACTTTCTTTATTAGTAGTAACAGTAAACAATAAGCTTAAAGCATGTTTAAATGTTACAGTTAAAATTTAAACCATATGCATACCATAGAAAAAGATCATAATTGTAAAATTGTATGAAAAACAGCCTTGGTAACACTCAAAAGTTTTATCAAACAGGGATTCTTCAGCATCCTCATGATCTAAATGAAAAGCTGAACAGTATTACAGTTTTAAAATTGTCTTATTTTAGGCAATCGGTTTGTACTGTCAGAGTGATTCTGGGTTGGGATGGGCTGCGTTTTCTCTGGGGAGGAATGGCAGGAAGAACTTGAATGTTTCGTAAAGGTTCTCCTGTCAGTGGCGTCGGGAAGGAGCCGAGCGACTGGCTTTGGGGAATGCCGGCTCGGTGCAGTTTGGATGCATATGGAGGTGGAAGTACAGCCAGGCCCGCTCCTAAAGAGGATTTCGACTTCTTCACTCCCTGAGAGACCTGGTCGGGTGGCAAGGAAACTGTGGACCACATGAAAGCTGGTTTTGTTAAACCGAAGATGTGAACAATGCTCATGTTTAGAAAAAGTACCAGCTGGGAGTGTATCATATTTGATTCTAATATATGATTTTATCATACAAGGAACAGTGTGTTGTACTGTAAAGTGTTGTAAAACATTTTGTTTCAACTTCAACCATTTCCCCCCATTTTAATTATAAACATAGAAAGCAAAACAGCAAATACCTGGAAACAAATATGGAACAATCAAATTCAACAAAGGCTTGCTACTTTCTTTCTCATTTGTGACAAATGCAGCCCTAAACAATATCCTATTTTGTGCAATCTTTGTGAATCTAATTGAAGTACTTTTTTTTTTTTTCAAAAATGAAGCTGAAAAACTTGTGTGGATGTTATCAAATTTAACCCGCTATTTCAGATGATAGCAGTTCTATCATTTACAATTGCCCTGTTTAGTAAATCTGGCCCTAATAATCTAGCACAGAGTCTTACGGAGCATGAAAATATGAGGATATAAGGATTAAACTTACATCTGTGAGTGCAGTGGTCACGGATGGGAGCAAGACTGTTACGTGTGAGAGCAGATTCTCTAACCCTCAGAGGTAAAAGATGATTCTGAGCTGCTCAGAGAAGACGACACAAAATTACTAATTTTACAAGCATATATTTCATAGAGTAATTCACTGATAAATATGAAAATATGAAAAGTATAAGCTAATTCAAAATTGTAATAAATACTACAAAAGTATTTAAATAATGCTAAAACAACACTATATATATATATATATATATATATATATATATATATCTGGATGATTCTTCAATTAGGGACACTTGACTATTTAAAATCTTGAAAAATGAAACATGAAATTATGAAACAATTGAAACAAATAATGTTTCATATGTTAACACTTGCAAATGTTGTAATAATCTTTTGATGTGGCTTAAAGAATTGCACTTATTTTCATGTGTTGGCTAACATACCAAAGCACATGTAAAGTACTTGATTATACTTTGACCTGCAGTGTCTTATTCCTTTTTACACTTCGTATCTTTTAATTGCACCATATTGCAACTTCATCATTACAGAGGTGTATGATAATTGGGTTACACTTTATTTTAAGGTGTCCTTGTTACAGTATAATTATACAATTAAGTACTGAGTAATATTAATTAACTACATGTACTTACTATATGGTTAGGGTTAGGATTAGGGTTTGGCTTAGGGTTACTTGCATGTAATTATGCATAATTAATTGTTATTATAATAGTAAGTACATGTAACAAGTGTAACAAGGACACCTTAAAATAAAGTGTTACCGGTAATTGCAAATATATTTAAATACATATATTTTAGTTGATCACAAATGCTTGTCAGTATATTCTGCAGTCAATTTTAACCATGCTTCAAAGACAAGTGAATTAATTATGAAATTACATATAAAGATGTACTTAAGTCGCACTTAAGTGGGTCACAAAAAGTTGAGCTAATTGCATTTTATATCAATTTCAGCTATGATAAATTTTCTTTTAATTGTAGCTAATTAAGTGTCAGAAAACATTACATTACACTTAAACCCAAATTAGTGAAATTCTGCCAAATGCCTAAAAACTAGGCAAAAGTAACAGATGCGGTAAACAGTACAGAACCATTTGCTATTATAATAATTGTACAGTCTTTTAAAACTTAGATGATTGCTAAAATAAGTAAAGAGACTAAAATAACCCTAGGAGTCAAAAATGTTCACCTAAATGAA